GGCTGCAGTTGGATGATATTGCTATAAATGGCTGCAGTTTCAAGTATCAATGAAAAACTTGTGACTGCAATGTGTTTTTTTTATTGTATCTTCTCTGTAGGAGCAGAACATGACAGTGACAGGAGGTCTGGCTTGGTGGAACGACTTTGTGGTGGTAGCCTGTTACAATTTTATAGACCAGCAAGAGCAGGTGAGACTGAAGCACCATTTACTTCACAACTGTTTCTCACAGATCCCACCATCTCTTTTTCTTTGTCGTGATTGTAGTTGTGTACGCATATCCCATTGTTGTCTCTCTGTTGACACTAGTTGAGGCTCTATCAACGCTCAACCAACCTGGACAATGCCTTTGCATCGGTCACTAAGCTGCACTCAGACACTCTGCTGCTCAACGTCTTCAGAGACATGGTCATCCTGTTCAGAGCTGACTGCTCCATCTGCCTCTATAGCATAGAGAGGAGGAACGACAGGTGGGCTCCTGTGTACACATGTTAGACCAGATCCAGATCCAGGTCTTAATTTCATTGCACTCACTATCGCATATCTGACATTAATCTTAGCCCAATGATTATCTAATTTGTTTTAATTCTCTTTTGGTCCAGCTTCGTCTGGTAGTTTTTTTTTTTTATGTGTAACAACGGTAGCAATAATGTGCTGGATGGCTTATACACCCAAAACCTTTACACTGTTTTGGCTTATTCTTCACATCACAAATCCAAATTCTAAGTGCTCAAAACAAATGCTAGTACTATTAAGAGGTGACAGCCTCTTTTGTAAACTGGAGGTTCTCCATTTAACTCAGTTAACTCACAGTTTCTTTCTTTGTCACACTCCAGCACCAGGGAAATCCCTGGCACCAGTAATCATAATAGTATTAGGTAATCATGTTAGTCAGCCACATTTTCCCATGGGAAAAGAGGCTTTTTAAAAGCTATTGACCTAAAACCCATCACATGACAGAACTGGGCCCAGCTTTACGTCTGTCCGGGACTATACATTGTATTTAATTAACTGTGTTTGACCAGCCTCACAACTTTAATGTCAGACTTCAGATTTCTGCTTACTTCAGTATATATAGTGACATTTTACTTTTTTCAGGTATATTTAGTACATTTAATCAGGGTAGTACAATATTTCATTATGCTGTATCAAGTTATTTTCACAGCATTTCAGAAAATTATGTTCGGCCCTAGCAGTCAAATGCTGATGCTGTACTACTAAAAGCTTTTTCAAAAACTTAAAGTTAAAGTCCTCCAAGTCTTTGTCTTGTCTTCTTGCATTAATGATTTTACCTGGAAGTCATGATTCTGACTTACATTATTTACCTCCATTTGTTGTTCCAGTCCACACCCGACAGCCAGCGTAGAGTTGTTGCAGGAGGTGTCAATGTCTCGCTACATCCCTCACCCTGCCCTCGTGGTCTCTGTCACACTCACCTCTGTGCGCACAGAAACTGGCATCACATTGAAGGCGCCGCAGCAGGTAACAGAGGAACACACATATTGAACTAGACTGTCTCTATAGGTGCATGTGCATTCATGTGTTAATGTGTGTGTGTGTGTGTGTGTACATCTTAGGCCTGCATGGCAGAGAGCATCATGTTGAATCTGGCTGGCCAGTTGATCATGCTGCAGAGGGACCGTTCAGGGCCGCAGGTGCGAGAGAAGGAGACACCAGCCAACAACAAGAAGCTGGTGAGTCCATCAACTTTAAACTGCTTTCCCCTGTATTCAGAAATGATATGTCAGAAACGTATCATTACAAATCAAAAATCCCTATAACTCTTTGTCCCCTAGCTACCATTTTGTCCTCCGGTGGTGCTGGCCCAGTGTGTGGAGAATGTGTGGACCACCTGTCGCTCCAACCGGAAGAAGCGCCACTTGCTGGAGGCCCTGTGGTTGTCCTGTGGCGAGGCAGGCATGAAAGTATGGCTGCCGCTGTTTCCCCGTGACCATCGCAAGCCCCACTCCTTCCTCTCCAGACGCATCATGCTGCCCTTCCACATCAACATCTACCCTCTGGCTGTGCTGTTTGAGGATGCCCTGGTACTGGGGGCAACCAATGAGACCGTGCTGTATGACGGCCTGCAGGGGTCCTCTGAACCACTAGAGGCGCTGTTCCCCTACTGCACTGTAGAGAGGACCTCCCAGATCTACCTCCATCACATCCTGAGGCAGCTGCTGGTTCGCAACCTAGGTGAACAGGTATGTGGAGCCTGCTGTCAGCTTAGTGAGGGAGTGATTGTGAACACAAACTTTAGTCTGAACGTTTGCTTTCAGTGGACCGTAGAGGTGATAATACAAACAGTTTCATATCATGATCATGTTTCCAAGTCCATTCTTTCCACTCCTCACTTCTCCCTCCCCTACAGGCTTTGATGCTGGCTCAGTCATGTGCCTCCCTCCCCTACTTCCCCCATGTCATGGAGCTGATGGTGCATGTCGTGCTGGAAGAAGAGGCGACATCGCGGGAGCCCATCCCAGACCCTCTGCTGCCCACCGTGGCCAAGTTCATCACGGAATTCCCCCTCTTCCTCCAGACCATCGTCCACTGTGCCAGGAAGACAGAGTATGCCCTGTGGAACTACCTGTTCGCCGCTGTGGGAAACCCCAAAGATCTGTTTGAGGAGTGTCTCATGGCTCAAGACCTGGACACAGCAGCCTCCTATCTGATTATACTGCAGGTAGCGACTGTGGTTGGAAACGCGTGCTAACACAGACACACACTGATGCTACACACACTTATTCAGTTAGCTTTTCATAGCATAATGCAGTGATTATCAAACATAAATGTAAAGTCTCATTGTGCATACCTAAATGTATCTGTTCATGGTGTCATGACCTCATAAAACCGCCTGTCTCCGCCCCTCTTTGTAAAGAACATGGAGGTTCCAGCAGTGAGCAGACAGCACGCCACTCTACTCTTCAACACGGCGCTTGAACAGGGCAAGTGGGACCTCTGCCGGCACATGATCCGATTCCTCAAAGCCATCGGCTCTGGAGAGATGGAAACTCCGCCCCCAACACCCACCACTCAGGTAAAAATAATGAAGGTGGAATTAACACATGTAGAATATTTTTCATTTCATTAATGTTTTCATCCATCCACCTTATAATTCCCAAACTACTGAAATAGTCAGATTTTTTTTGCTTTTACCATCCACAAATTTTTATCCTTTTCAAATATATCAACATATATCAAAGTGTTTTAAGAAAATCCTGCTTGTGGTGGCTTAGTGTGGATAGAGGGCCACAAATTTAATTTGTTGATATGAAAAACCCGGCTGTAACACCAATAAATGTGTGTAAATTACCATGATAACAATTCATCATAAAGACATGACTCACATAAACACTTGTTGTGAGTAATAAGCTGTACTTAATATAGCAAATCTGTAAATGCATCATTCTTTGTACCCACAAACACTAAACTATACACATGAAACAATGAACTGTGTATCTCTGTCTTTAGGAACCCAGCTCTACTGGGGGGTTTGAGTTCTTCAGAAATCGCAGCATCAGTTTGTCGCAGTCTGCAGACTCCATCACTACGGGCAAGTTCAACCTACAGAAGACCTTCAGTATGCCCTCAGGACCCTCTGTTAAAGGGTATGGACACACACACATACAGTAACATAGAATGTGCATACTTGTGTTATGTTTTGTTCAAACTGTTCTCACTGTCTTCTAAATTTTAAACTTTCCACATTTTCTTTGTCTATCTCTCCTTCTTCCTGCATTAATTCCTGTCAGTCGGGATGTGGAGTGTGCAGAGAACATGTATATCGATATGATGCTCTGGCGCCACGCCCGCCACCTCCTGGAGCAGGTACGCCTCCGAGACTTGGGATGCTTCTCCGCGCAGCTGGGCTTCGAACTCATCGGCTGGTTGTGTCGCGAACGAAACCGCGTGGCCCGCGTTGATGATTTTGTTTCGGCGTTGAAGAGGCTCCATAAGGATTTCCTCTGGCCCTTCCCTGTTATCCCTGTGGGAAGCCTCAGCTCACCTCTGAAGAACGGACGGTGTCGCACAGGTGAGTGACACAGGAGCTGTCTAAAGTGACCAAACCTCACATATGAATGTGAACAACACTGTCTCTATCCCAGCATTTCATGCCGTTTTTTAATTGTTCCCTGAAGTGCTGAGCACACGGCTGTTGAAGTCGCAGTCAGCTGACAGCCTGTTGAACAGCGACATGGACACAGCACCCCCCCAGGCGACTGCCTCCAACCACACCTGGATTGACGGGCTCGGACAGAGGGCCAAAGACATGGACACGGCCTCGTCTGCTCACTCCAACCAACACTCGCCACAGACGCATGATGCGTTCCTGTCCCTGCTCACCAACAAAGGTGATAAGGCTCGAACAGTTAATCCCATCTAACTGTTAACACATAAAACACATTTTATTTTATGCAATTGTTTTCTCCTTTTCCTTGTTGTTTCTCCCCCCTCTAGTGGAAGAGTACAGCGTCGGCTCGGCCACGGACTTGACAGAGACCAGCTCGGTGGTGGATGGTGATTGGACGATGGTTGACGAGAACTCCTCCACTCTGAGCCTGAGTCAGGCCGAGTTAGAGCACATCTCCATGGAGCTGGCCAACAAAGGCCCGCACAAGTCGCAGGTGCAGCTCAGGTGAGATACCATCACTAAAACTTGACTTCCATGATTCACTGCAGTCTTATTTCGTTATGTGCTTTAACTCAATGTGAAACCAAAGCCAGTATTTCACAGCAGTGCGACTCTGTGTACCTTCAGGTATCTCCTTCATGTGTTCATGGAGGCGGGCTGTCTGGAGTGGTGCGTAGTGATCGGTTTGATCCTGCGGGACGCCAACGTAATAAAGCAGGTCATCGGCTTCCTGGACAGCCCCGAGGTTCCCCAAGAAACTGTGCAGAGTGTCAGAAGCGGCTTATTGGCTGTTGAGACATGGGCCTCAATTGACTGGTGGGTATAGCATGTGACCTGTCCAGATGTGTATTTACTGCCCCCAGCTTGTCTCTCTGTCTCTCTCTTACTTGTTACTTACTTATCTCTTTCTTGTATCCCCAGCTTGGGATACAAACCATTTCTCAACCTGATCCAGCCGCAGCTGCAGCGGTTGATGGATTCAGCCGCCGGCGAGCAGGTGCAGCCCGAGGCCTTCCAGCCCTCCAGCCAGAGCTCCAAGCTCGGTGGCGCCGAAGGGCTGGGAGGCGCCGCATTGCCGCGGCCGGAGGACAGCAGAGGGGTAGCGGCTCCGCTGGGCCTGGCCCTGCCCTCCCTCGAACCTGCAGGAGGTTTTTCCCGCCCCGCTTCTGAGGACTGTCCTCCTGAACAGACAGAGGAGCAGGGAGAGGAGGAGGGTGCCTACGACTGCACCTTGTCCTGAAGCCAGGAGCCTCCTCTGGACACTAACCTGTGAACTTTAGACCCTAGAGAGGAGACAGCAGCAGCAGCAGTGGCTTGAAGTAGACTTTTTGTGTGTGTGTGCCTGTGTGTGTGTGTGTGTGTGCGTGTGCGTGTGCGTGTACAGAAAGTACCTCTCCTGCAGGTTCTTACTTAAGTCAGTATTATCCACTCTTCAGATTTGCCCTTTGTGTCGACTAGAACCCCTGTGGATACTGAGCTAGCGACAGACAGCCCGACTGGCACAAAGACATCGCAGCACAACCAGAGACAGGGTTCAGTCTGATGGGTCCTTCTCTAACCGGCCTCATTCTACCAAAATGTGCTGTTAGACAAAAGGCCACTTATGTCAGTTTATACATCAGGTTGTGGTGTTTGGAAGCTGTAGACCAGCAGAGGAAAGCACCAGGCTTTTTTTTTCTCCTTTTTTTTTTTTTACATTTCAAGATAAATGTGTCTCTGTTGCTTTTCTTTGGCACTCCTTCAAGTGCAACTGGAGACTTTGAACATTTTTTTTGTGTTGTTTTTTTTTTTTTCCCCGCTGTCCAGACAAAAAGCTCCATTGTTTCTTTTGGTTGAATGCAAACAGTGCAAGAATCAGTTCAAAGATTAAACACCTGCGTGTGATCACAGCATCATGCTACGTCGCTAAGCAAAATGTGGAACAAAGCTCTAGTCATGAACCATCGCCGAGATTCTCTGAAGTGTGTCTGAGCCGACAGTAAGCGCGCAGGTCTGTTCGTGTGCACAAGAGGTGTTTCATACTTTCATACCTCATATGATTTTAAGATATTTTGTGATACCTTTTTCAATAATGTAACAGTGTACAAGATAACATTATTTTTCTATCAATTACACCTTTGCCCTCTTGAGTCTCCCTGTAAAGAAAAAGACACTCACGGTATGAATTCTATGTAATTCTTGAGAAGTGACGACCTTAAGATTTCTAAGAAAATGATCTCTGAGAAGAATCCACTGTTGCGAGTGCAGACTAGTTTCTTACCACTGATCAGTACCTCTGTTCATGTATTTTTCATGGGACAACGCCCCCACCCCGACTTTACTGAAGTCCAGGCCCCACAAATGTGTCCCGAGGGGAGCTTGAGCCAGAATCAGCAGTCTGCTCTTGTCCGTGAGGTCCAGGTTTTAAACGTCAGTCCAGATCGGCGGTGAGCAGATTCAAGGTCCCGTAGTGCAGCGAGGGGCTCGGGCAAAAAACAGACGCTATAAATACCAAATCATGTGACGCTTTATCCAGCTTTTTTAAACACACATTTGGGTTTCAGTCTCCATGTGGGAGATTCAAAATGTGTTTCCTATCATCAGCGAGGCAGATCATTTAATATTGTTATTAAAGCCATCCAGCTCTGTACATTGTGTACCTGTTCCTTGTCAAAAGCGCATTATTTGGTAGTGTTAACAGTGACTCAGTCGCTACCATTTTGAAGCGAGGATGAGACACTGTCGCCGCCTCGGCTGCGGTTGTCTAATGTGACCCTCATCATCTGATAAGGACTTATATATTTCGTCCAGTCCGATATGCATATCACATCCCTGAACCGCTTGAGACAATGATTACCGATTTCGCCACATGCATTTGTGTGCTCCTGTGTGGATTTCTGAGTGCGTGTACCACATTGTATTGACATGTTTGGTGACTTTCATCACATGCAATTTGTTTTAATTGTATTAGTCCTCAATATTACTATTATTTATTGGCATTATAGCTGAGTGGTAATAACTGAATTGATGCTCGGTTTGTTTTTATGACTGATAAACATTTCCCCCCCTTTAGTTAATCAACGTTGTGTATTGGCTCTCTACCACAAGCACTAAAAGTTTTATCACAGATATGTCAGTATTATATTGTGCAATGTATTGAAATGTTACTCAGCTTTATTTTTTTCTGCGCTTCTACTTCTTGTATTTCCCCCCCCAGCTGTTTGCTTTTACTTTTCATGATAGACCAAATCATGTCAAGTCGGTGTGTACAGGATGAGTTGGGTGCGTTATCTGTTGAAAAATTAAGACTCTTCAAAGTTGAATTGCCTGTATAGTTAGAACACTATTCACAAAAAGGGCAAAAATGACTACGCAGCACAGTGTTGCTGTCGCTGATGTACTGTTGCCACTCAACATAAATCCTGTTGCACCCTCCACTCTGAACAAGCCTACAGCTACACTACGCTGCTGCGCTGTAAGCTTTACTTAACTTGAAAACGGTAACACGATGAACCAAAGACTTTATGTCCAGAGGCCTTCTGTTTTAACCGGTTGCTTCGACTGAGTGCTTGACTCATTATGCAGAGGGAAAAAAACCTCAAACACACACACACACACACACGTACCCCATCCCTCTCATCAGAAACGTAACCGTTGATGCTCCAAACTAATGCTGACAGCATGTGAGACAATTTCCTACGGAAATGAATATTGCAGATCTTTTCTGGGTTCCTTCTCTGCGGGCGAGGAGCGGTCGGTCAGGTGTGTCAGCGCCCCCCCTCCCTCCTGTGTACAGTTGTAAAAGTATTGCCTGTTTCCTGTCCCGGAGTAAAGTTTTATTTCTGGGGCGGGAGCAGCAAACATCCTCAATGCAGTGTAAAGATACTCTCTTGTACATTTGCCTTTTCTACTCATGTTTGGTTTTCTACTTCATTTTTTTTCCTTGTACATAAAGACCAATAAATTATTTTTAAAAATGGTTAGTGTGCCTCATTGAGTCCAACTGTTTTTGTTCTTTGTTTGCTGTATTTCTAATTATAATCTGATCTGTTTTTTGTAGGTACATGCGATAAAATGACAGGATAATACAACAAACATTAACGTAATAAGAATTTTAATTGTTGTACATCGCTAAATTTAATTCAAGCTTTTTGCATAATGTAAAATCACCCCGTCCATTCAATAGAAGGATACCCTGTAACCAGATCAATCCCAATAGCAACAGTCATATATCAATCACTTAATTCCAAACGGACAAATATGCAATTTTAGAAAACGCAAAACAGCAGTTCAAAGGAGAAACAGAACTGTAACAGTAATTTAAAGTGTCAATCACAAAAATGAACAAAATGATCATAGTTGAAAAAAAAAAAAAAACTAATATTAATTTAACTTTCAGAACAAAAAACTGAACAGTTAGAGAAATAGGCATGGGTGTAAAGTCAAGATGTTGGACAAAAAAAAAGAAACAACAATAACATAACAGTTAATTTTTAAAAAGGACATCCTTCAACAACAGGCATTAAGACATTTCAACGTGTATCCCAGAATAGATTTCAGTTAAACTGATATGGACATTTGTGTGAATGATTGTTAGATTTTCTTTGACTGACTGTTACATGTGATAAAGATAAAGCTACATCCAAGTGTGAGTTGACACTGAACAACAAAAACACACTGCAACGCTTAGTCAGCCTCTCAGTCTGAACTGAGTCACATTCATACATTAGATTCTGTCACAAAGTGGCTATTTAAATTCACTTTATCTTGAAAGGAGTTTGTTTTTTTTTCTTCTCTATCTATGTTAAGCTCTCTAGCAGCGCTTGGTGTGAGCTTTAGTTCAGTGGGAGCACCAATGGCGTCAAATGAGCCATTTCACAGCGTTTAACGTCAAACATCTCCCGGCTCCGTCCTACACCTACAGCAGTTCCTCCCGTGTGTTCTTGCTGTTATGAAAACGAACGCACCCTTTTGTTATTCAGCATCCCATTTAATGTTATAATCAGAAACAAAATGGTCAGATTTCTGCCACAACTTGAAATGGTCAGTTAGAAACCGGTGTCCCGTTCATGGTCAGAAATCTAAACAAGCTGAGTACATCTTAAACGTATCTGCTTTCCTCAGCCTCTAACAAAATCCGCTATTTCACTTTACAACAGATTTTTAGAAAAATATTAATTTACATTTGTTAATAAAGCTTTTTCTCCCATAGACACGACTGAAGCACTTTCAGTAAAACGGATTTCGATCTTCTGCGTGTCGCCTCACAACACTGGAGGTTTCCTCGAACACATGGCTTACTTCGGCTGCAATGACTGAACTCTAATGTCAGCATGTTACAGTATTTGCAGGTTCTCTGATCATTAGATGTTGAGTCGAAAGGACAAAAGATAGACATTTCAGAAGCCTGGGTCGCTTTTCGCTGTCCACAGTAAAAGTAAAAACTCATTTTGTGAAAAAAAGAAAAGAAAAAATGCAAATTCATGGTTCAGATTTCCAAGCGATGCTGTGCTGATCAGACCAGGCTGAACAGTGACGTTCATCTGACACATCTGAGTCAGCCAGAAACAAAAATGCTTCATCAACAACCCTCTTAACCGATTACCCCTGGATGGACTAAAGAACTTAAATACAAGGCGAGTTAAAACCTCAGAGAGAGCGAGCGAGGTGATCTCGCTGACTGATCACAGTGCAGGACACACCTGGCCAGCTGTGCAGAGTGAAGGAGAAACATTTGATCAGTCAGTTAGTGTTTCTGTTTG